AGTGTATTGTCTTTATATTATTTCAATGGCTAATCTGAAATAAATAATAAAAAAAAAAAGATTTCTGTGGAAGTGAAAAAGACCATGTTAGCACATACTGCCGTTGCGTGCGCCTTTCTGCACAAGACCAAACTTACTGCCATTAAAAGCCTTAGATAGCTCAGTGGTTTGAGCATTGGCCTGCTAAATCCAGGGTTATGAGTTCAATCCTTGAGGGGGCCATTTAGAGATCTGGGGCAAAAATCTGTCTGGGGATTGGTCCTGCTTTGACCAGGGGGTTGGACTAGATACCTCCTGAGGTCCCTTCCAACCCTGGTATTCTCTGATTACAGGTGAACTTTTAAAAGTGATCACAAACTCTTCCTTCCCCAAGGATATTTTAAACCCAGATTTTCTGTATCCCTGTGACTGTGAATGGGCATTTTGATAACCAGACAGCACCATTTTTTAAAAAAGTGTTCCTTTCCTTTGATTTCCTTTTGGCAGATGGCATTAAAGGAATATGTATTTTTCAACACAGATGCATGGCTGTTGAAATATAAACCATCAGCAGGTACCTGAGTCATCTTAATCCTCATTAATCCAAAAATCTACTGAACCTACCTTAATACTAATCTCCCTTTCCTATCAAATGTTAAAATATTTCCTACAGCAAGCTGTTAGATGAGAAACAACAGACAATAGCTTACCATGCTCCATTCCAAGGTCCACGTTCAAAGGGAATTTTAAAGAAATAAGACATTTACAGCAGGACACAATTTGAACATTTTAAAAACAAACACATTGAGAGAGCGTTTTTGACAGAATTCAACTTTTTGCATTAAAAACAAACAAACAAACAAACAAAGAAGATGCAACATGTGGCAGATACAGTAACAGGACATCTGGCTCAGGAAGGAACTGGTAAACAGCAGGAGAGAGGAAGAAGCAGGTCTGGTTAGAAAATGAGCACAGATGGGGAAAACTAGCAGTTACAAATTTCAGGAAAAATGGATCATTGCCAAATGAAAGTCAGTCTCTGAGCTTCCTGAGCTCTGCGCTAAATGGTGTAACTTCCAGACACACATTAAAATGCACGGCATCATCCTCACCTCTCCTCGAGTTTGCAGCCCCACATGGGTTTTCATTTTTGAACATTAACATAATTCACACAAATATTTCCTGTCCTGAGCATGCAAATCAGGGTCTGGCTTTACAACTGACCCCAAATGATTCACCAGCTGTGATGATTTGGGGAATCTATGTACAATTTAGGAATTCCAGTTTGAAATTATGACAGAATTCGTAATTTCATTCTTTGTACATCTCTCTATCAAACTGCAAACTCCATTTTGATTGTGAGGCTAGTCTGCCTTCTCTGCTGTCTTTTTACCTCCATCCAAGGGGTGCTGACGCAAGGCTAGTAATGCAGGGTTGTTAAACCTTGATAGTCTTCTATTCAAATGGAAGCACCCTTGGACAAAGAAGGCAGCCAGACTAGAAAAACAGCTCACCCAGGTGGGCAGTAATCATGCAACAGAATGAGCTGGTGGGGCACTCTGAACACCCGACAAGGCTGATTGGGGGAGAGGCACCTGACAAAGGGGACTGCATCTTTATGAAAGGAGGACTCCCCCCAGCTGTTTTAAAGAGAGAGGGAGACAGGAGCAGAGGCAGAAGCAGAAAGCAAGGCTGTGCAGGAGGAGAAGGGGGAGGATCCTGGACACGCTAGGGGACTCCCACTTCAGCCCCAAGAACAGTCCAGAGTGGTGAGGAAACTGAGGCAGGGAAGGGGGTGCGAGTGTTTTATTGTTTTGTCTGGATCTTTATAGCTCTTGTGCTGTGTAAAGAGAGGCAGGTTTTGGAACCCTTGTTAGGCTCCATGTTATGTGCTTCAACTCTCACACGTTCTTGGAGAAGTGAAGGGTGAACACATGGTTGAAGCTCTGGGGAAGAGCGGGCCTGAGCTACTGGGATGTTTTGGGAGGTCAGCACAGGTCCTGGCAGCTGGACAGTGAGGGTCAGCGAAGGGGAGCAGATGGAGTTCGTGCTCAGGAAGTGTGCCATGGAGGCCAAAGAAAGATGGTGCCAGAGCCTAGCCAGACCAAGGGAAGTTCAAAAGCACATGGGTCCAGAGCATTGGACCCAAACACAGCTGCCTGGCAAGGGTCTAGCAGGGGAAGCTTTACCAGGGCTGTGACAGCAGCAAGGAAATCTCTTCCCACAGTGTATGACCTACAGCTTCCTCCCCTCTGAGCCACGGTGCACAAGGCAGCAATGGATAACCCTCACCCAGGTGTCTCCCGCGCCTTTGAGCCTCAAAATGTCCAATATGCTTGTAGTTGTGGGGAATGGGACATTTATTTCTCCGGGAATATGGTCAGAGTGCAAATCCCACAGCAGCAGATCTTGGGTGATGTGTGCCTGAGTTCCTTTTCCTAGGACAGCAGAGTTTCTTCATTCCCAGACAAGACTTCAGTCAGCTGGAGTTCTTTGTAAATACAGAATAGTAATTTAAACATAATTATGTTGGAGCACAGGGTGGAAAGCCAGAGTCCTTCCGGGGCTTGGTGGGGTCCACGGGATCCAGGTGGGATGGGGAGACTCAGAACGAATGAGCACAAGGAGGAACAGAAGTATCGTGATCCCCGTTCTGCAGATGCAGACAGGTGCCCCTGGCCACATGGGGGTTGTGGCAGAGTCAGGAACAGAATCCGATTTCCCAGGGACCACTCCTGTGCCCTAACTGGAGTCTTGGCAACACCGCATAAGGCAATGAGTGTGGCAAATGGGAAGCCATCACGCAGCTGGGGTGGCGCTAACTTTGCCCACCAGCTGGACAATTTCTCCATTCTGAACAGTCAGGCAATGGGCTTTAAAAGGGAAGAGGCTGCTAGAGAAGATTGGTGTTTAACCACAGATATGTAATGCTAAATCGTCTCCTACGGGCACATGCTCCATGCATTCCATGTGCTGTTAACAGCGAATGAGTATCCTCGGAGGGACCCAGTTCTTAGAGTAAGTCAGGGGAAAAGCAAGTCTGGGCATTTCATTACAGGAAAGTAGCCCCGTGGAGGAAGCAGCAGTGATGAGATCAGGATACAGGTAAAAGTATAATGAGCAAGAATAATAAAATGTTCGGACAATAAGACCTGAGAGGGAAGGGTCAGGACATGGGGCAAAACTACTCAGAAGAGCTAGGACAGCGGCATACAGATACTGCAGGGATGTTACTAATAGAGCAAAGATTTATGATCCTCCGTCTCGGAGGACAGAAAAATAAACATGGCCTTAAGCTGCAGTGAGGAAAATTGGGGCTAAACATGGGGAAAGCTTTTGAAACTGGGATGGAACAAAGGACTTTGGGATCCTCCTTTACTTGAGAGAGTCGGACCCAGATGCACATTTATCAGGAGTGGGTCAGGGATAATTGAATCACTTCTGCCATAATGCAGGGGGACGGACTCGCGAGCAGATGGAGCTTCCCTCCAGCTCAACCTGAGGTTACTAAACACAAAACCCCAATCCTGCGAATCAGCTTTAACTTTGGGCCTTTGGGATCACGCAGCGTGCAGGTCTCTGACCCAGGAAATGACAGACAAGTGAGGAGCAGGACACACACTCACACACAGACACACACACACAGAAGTGAGCAACCGAAGGACAAAGCTGGAGACTCCAGGAAGTAGATTGTAATAGGGCTGTTATGCCGTTAGCGTCTCGACACCACATGATCGATTATTGCCATATGGTCGTTGCAGAAAGGGACAGAGGAGCAGGAGATCCATCTCTCTCTCGTACGGATATGGTCCTCATCACTGTAGTATCGGAGCCCCTCACAATCTTTAAGGTATTTATCTTCGCAGCACTCTTTTGAGGCAGGGCATTGCTATGGCCCATGTTGCACGGTGGAGAACTGAGGCAGAGAGGTCCTACGGGAACACCATAGCAGGTCCCCCGAGAGCTGGGGTAGCGCTCTAACTATTGGGCCATCCTTCCCCTCACATCAGGCACAGAACCCTATTTTGTTATTCAAAATGTCTCCTTTCTCCTCTGATTTCTGACTCTTATGCCTCAAGCAAGGCGTTATACAGACTGAAACGCATGCTGCATTACTGGCTGCTCAAATTGCCTCTCAGTGCCAGCCACATGCTGTCAAAGTACTGATTCCTCTTACCCATGGTAGCTAAATAGTCTACAGACCATTGGCATACCCACCTCTCAGAGTTTAGAGCCCACATCTAGCAATATATGCTGCACATTCCTCCCATCCCCCAGAAGTACCTGCACCCCGGCTAGCGAAGTCCAGCAGGAAGAAATACAGAAACAATGGAAGAAACTCAGATTCTCCTCTGGCTTTCTGCTAATGCTCATACACAATTCAAGCTCCAGACTTGCTGGGCTTTACCTGGGGTACAAGCCAGTGAGTGAATTGCTGCTTCATTACCAGTTCAGACTTAGCATATGTTCCCGAGCTAGATGTTAGGAGGCAGTTTAGAAAGAGACATTTTCAGCTTCAGAGGGAGAACAACAGGAGAGAGTGACCCAGGTGCTAACGAATTGAGAGGTATTGCAATCCAATAAGATCCCTGAGCCAACACACACAGGCTTTCTACCTCTGTACTCTGAAGACAAGATGAGGTAGGGTGACCAGACAGCAAGTGTGAAAAATTGGGACTGGGGATGGGGGTAATAGGAGCCTATATAAGAAAAAGCCCCCAAAATCGGGACTGTCCCTATAAAATCGGGACATCTGGTCACGCTAAGATGAGGGGCCCCGCTAGGCAGAATGATTTATTCTCTTAGGATGGTTGCTAGACATGTGCCAGCATTATGGGCGTGGGATCTCCTAAATATATAAAGTAAGTGTGGGATACGTTCATCGAGTGGGTAAGGAAAGTAGCATCTGCACATATGCTTGTGTATGAGCGCGCGGGGAGTGAGAGAAAGTGTGTGTGGGAGTGGGAGGGGGGGGAGAGAGAGAGAGAGAGAGAGAGAGACTTTAATACAATCAAACTTACAGCCTTTGGCTTGAATGGAGGTTGAACCTCTTTGCGCTCGAGTTTCTCCCAGTCGATATATCGGAAGAAGGCATGCTCCTTGATGTCCCGCTCCCCTTCGGGGCCACATCCCAGGCGTTTGCCAGGGTGCTTGGTCATTAGCTTAGAGAGAGAGAGAGAAGAAACATTCATTGACAAAAAGCCAAACTGCTTCAGAAAATCCCACCAATCGAACGGGCGCAAGAGGAGGCTGAGGCCACCATTACACTGTGACCCAGTCTGCCAGGCACAGAGGGACAAACTGGGTCACCTAGAGTCAGACCATCTCCCTCAACAGAAAACCCCACAACGGGGCCCACAAACACAGCAAGGATTCCTAGAGTCTCCTCTAAATTCTTTCATGGGCCCCCCCCCCCCCCACCGCCAGAGCCCTGCCCCCGCCCCCCGCACGGAGCTGGCATCTCTGCTCATCCCTCCCCCACATTCCTCCGCATCACACCCCACTTTTTTGACAAAAGTGGGCATTTGTCCCGATTGCTCTTGCCAACTGATCAAGTTGGCCAAGAACAAACGGGACAAATGCCCACTTTTGCCAAAAAAAACGTCGGGATGGCCGGGACAGGGTTTAAAAAAGGAACTGTCCGGGTCAAAACGGGATGTATTGTCAGCCAATCTTTTCACAGACCCAGTAAGAAAAGCAGAGAAGAGTAAGGGAATTCAGAGGTGCTGTGCAAACATTAATATCCTGGTGGTATTGTTTGGGTTGTGTCCTGAGATAAGATGCAGATACCAGAGGTTTATACAATGTCGACAAGCAGGGAGAATATGAACATAACTCCTGCAACAAAGGACTGCTTCATTAGAAGCAGGGCGGTTAAAACAAACCAGTTCCAAGAGCACAACCAGTTTGCAGCAAATCTTGTTCTACAGCACAGGGACTTGGGTTTGCAAAAGGACACCACCACTTCCCACTTGTCACTAGCTGTGACTTATGCAGCTGTTCACACTAGTCGGCTCAGTGCAGGAACCACAGGGTGCAATCTGTGACCAGCTGTGGAGGTCAGACTAGATGATCACAATGGACTCTTCTGCCTTTCAAATCTATGAACTTTGGAACTGCTTGGAAAAGGCAAAGGAATAAATTTAAATTAAATTAATGAGATATCCTATCTCCTAGAACTGGAAGGGACCTTGAAAGGTCATTGGGTCCAGCCCCCTGCCTTCACTAGCAAGACCAAGTACTGATTTTGCCCCAGATCCCTAAGTGGCCCCCTCAAGGATTGAACTCACAACCCTGCATTTAGTAGGCCAATGCTCAAACCACTGAGCGATCCCTCCTCCAACACTCAGGAAGTGGGAGGAAGACAGGCCTAGTCCTATGCCTTCCACACACCCCCCATGACACATGTGCATAATTCCCCCTCACTTCATGGGGAGAACGTTCACTTCAGCAGCTGACAAACCTCCACTGCCCCTTCTCCTTCCTTGGACAGAGATTCAAATTCTTTCTCTCTGGGTCACGTTGCCAATTTCCAGGGCAGGTCAGGCAAAGAACAGTTCTCAACCTGCTACAGGCCAAATCTGGGAGGCAAGGTGTGACAAAGGCCCCAACTGCCAGAAGCTGGGAATGGACAACAGGGGATGGATCACTTGATGATTCCCTGTTCTATTCATTTCCTCTGGGGCACCTGGCACTGGCCACTGTTGGAAGACAGGATACTGGGCTAGGTTGACCTTTGGTTTGCCCCAGTATGGCCGTTCTTAAGGTCTTATGTTTAAAGGCCCAAAGTAAAGGGGAACCACAACACCGCTCACGCAGGAAACAGCTGCTTCCTTTAGTGTCAAGGCCTCTCTTTCTGGAGCTTCTGATTCATGGCTCTATTTCTGATGTGGTGTCTCCTCATTTTTTATTTACATGTGTGGAATGTGGTAACGTTGGGACTAAAATGAGTGACAGCCCTCAAAACTAGGAGCGGTTGAGAGGTGTGCACACAACTCACAATGCTGTTTGGGTGAAAGCAGGATTTAAGTGATTCTGGAACCTGGACCTGGCCTCTCTGTCAGGGGTGAATTTCACGCTCTGCAGAGAGTCCATCCCAGCAACGGAACAGAGCTTGTGTGTCCAAGTAGGCACACACAAGTTCTGGAAGTTGCAAATGTTTTGACATAAGTCAACCATGATTGCACAAACTTGCTTAGGGAGACTGATCTTAAAAAAAAAAAAAAAAAAAAAAAAAAAAAAAAAAAAAAAAAAAAAAAAGTGCCACGCAGACCTAGTGGCAAAGAAAACCCTCCCCCCAATAAACAAACAAACAAACAAACCGGAAATACAAATGTGAAGTGAAGTAAAAAGATTGGAGCCAACAACCACCCTGGTCGCCAGTGGCAGTGCGGGAAACCAGCCCAGGTTAACCCCTTCAGTGCCAGTGGTTGAGTAGCTACCGAAGTAATGTTCATGGCTTCCACATCAGCTCTAGAAATCCCAGCATCTAGCAGCAAAGTGTTAGGCAGTGGGCCCTGGCTTCTGAGATCTGAATCAATCATCTTCCAGACAACATGTGCTAATTTGCTAGTGGCGAGGATCAAAGCATCCCATTAGCAAGCTTAAGAAGTGATATTGGTGTCCGTCCAGTATAGCATCACTCCCTCGCCCTCCCCTCCTGCCAGAGAAGAGCCACTGTAACTGTGGCTGCCAGGAGCACAGGACAGCTGTGGTTGGGAAGGGGGAGAGGTGGATCTGGAAGAAGGAGGGTAACCTGATGATAGGACTCAGGGCGGGGGAACTGAAGCGGTTTTACTTGCTCATTATGGTTTTGGATAATATTGTCTTATTTGATATTGAAGTGTTCGAGTCATTGTAAAAATTAATAAATAAGAAGAATAAAAAATTACATTGTAATAAACTATGCTGATGTAATAACAGCAAAAATGTCCCTGGTCATTCAGAAGAATAGGGTAAGTAGTAGCCTATATATAAAAATGTAGTCACGTTTTTGTCTAACGTTTGATATGGATTCCCCTATTCCCCTACCAGAGTGAATGAGCCATAGAAGTACAAGGACGGGCCACACCACCTGTCCCATATGGCAGGGAGGGGGCTGTTCTTGGTGGTCAGAAGTCCCAGATGGAGGCTGTTGGGTGGCTCTCTTTTGGCTCTATTCAGTACCAAACAGTGGCAGACTCCCTGTTTCAGATCTTTGCTCTGGCATTCCCTATATTCATTATAATGCTGAGCCAACTCTTAGTGAAGTCAACGGGAGTCTTTCCATCTCCCTCACAGGGCTCTGGATCAGACCCTCGTTGATAAGTCAAATCCTGCCAGTTGAATCACAGCGGGGAGAGAAATAGTCTAGGAATCAATGGGAAGTTATTACAAAAGCATTTCCTCTACAACAATTGGAGACTCTAAAATGTCCACTGAGAACTCTTCCTCAAATTTGTTTCATTCAGTTGCGGTCTCTCTCCATCTCTCCATTTGATTTTCACATGCAACATTAGCTTGGATTACATCCAGCCAACATGCAAAGAGCTATATGGGGTGGTGGTGTTCTTTCTTGGGCCTGATCCTGGAGACTCTTATGCACATGTTTCACTTCACTGAAGTCAACGGGACTCCTCATGGTAGTGAAGTTAAGCACGTGTGTGTTGGCATGACCAGAGCCTCGGCTGAAACATCAAGCACTGGGACTCCTACATATAAAATTCAGCAGTGAAAATGCCAAGCAGGATGAGTCACTTCAAATGTTGAATTAGAAACAAGACACGTGTCAGCCACGCGACTCCTCTGAAGACCTATGAGCCTACTCAGCTCCCACTGACTTGGATCAGATCCTGTGGAGGCAGAATGGCAGAAATACGGCATCTCACTTGGAAACCAGCGGGATCTGCTTCTAGTTCAGATTTGACAAAAATCTGATGGTCACAATTTAAATGCCAAAATGTCTGTTTTTCAACGCCTACTTGGGTTTGTATGGAAATCTCGCTCACCTTTCAGCATTGCTCCTCCCTACACGACAGTCCCCTGACTTCCCTTATCTCTCTCCTCACACAAGAGGATTTAACATTGAAGAATTAAGGAGAGAATTTTCAATTTCACTGAGTGGATTTTTTGTAGTTCTAATAACTGATGTAAATAACTGTTGTGCTTCCACAGCCGGTATTAGACCGAATGCTGAGTATTGCATGCGTTGTCTACTGGAGCTGGCGTTCTCCAACGCATGATAGCAGAAAATTGTTGATGGAGCTAAAATTTCTCTAGATTGGGACCTGGATGTTAACTCATAGGTAGATCTTTGTTTTAAGAGAGAAATTTGATTATTGTAGAGGTGCACATTAAAATTTGAACTAGCATCTGTTCCATTGCACCTACTGTTGTTTTATAGTCAGCTTCTCATCCACAGCAGTAAATATATCCTACATTAATTTACTAATTAGGTTTTACTAGCCAAAATCTTACCATTTACCTGCTGTTTTTTTGGTGGCAGTTGTTTCAAACACACACAGACACAGACACACATACAGTTTAAATTTAAACTTTAAATTTTCACAATTTAAATTTCCCTGTTAAACACACAATTTCCCAAAGTTAACACAAATCCACACCACATTCTGAACAGCTTGCCTTAGGGTGACCAGACAGCAAGTGTGAAAAATCAGGACGGGGGTGGGGTAACAGGAGCCTATATAAGAAAAAGACCCCAAAATCGGGACTGTCCCTATAAAAAAAAAATCGGGACATCTGGTCACCCTAGCTTGCCTTGACTAATGAATTATAAAAGATTAATTTTCTACTTGATGTACCTGTCTGCATTGCTGCACAGGGCTATATTGTGATGCAGTTATTCTTCTGTATTTTTGATACATGCACTCAGAAATTAAATCTTCCAGTTTCCTTTTGTGCTTTTATTCTTCATGTTAGCATGAAGGCACCATCTGCTATTGTTATACAGAAGCCCATGAAGCCTACAGATTGATTCTCCTGACTTATAGAAGAGAATCATTTGGCATTGTGTGTATTAAATAGGAAGAAGTTGGTTTAATCCCTACACTAATGCCGTGAATACAACACATCACTGTAGATGAAGAGGACTGTATTAGACCAATACATATTCAAGGCCAATGGTACATTTCAAGAGTTAATTCAAACAGCAATTATGTAGTCT